CAATCTACTTGCGATGGTCTCCAATCTACTTGCGATGGCCTCCAATCAACTTGCGATGGCCTCCAATCAACTTGCGATGGTCTCCAATCTACTTGCGATGGCCTCCAATCTAATTACCCTGAGCATCGAATATTGATTACAATCAATATTCTCAAAACCCTTTTGATTTAGCTTCAAAATCAATATTAGAGAATTGATTTTTTTGATTTTGAAATCAATTGTAAAAACTAGGAAGAAAAATCAAAATAATCAATATACCAAAACACACTAGAAAAATCAAAAAAAAAACAATATTATCAAACAAATCAAACAGGTCCCAGCCCCTCTACACCCTGCCCAGGCCCTGCTGGCACTCTCCTTTTTTTCCATATCATTTCTATACTTCATCTAGCTCTTGGCCAGGTTCATCTGCCAGAAAGCATGTCCCTTTTTCAAGGTTCATGCATGAATTAAGATGCACTTCTTTTTCAAGGTTCCTCTTTTTCAAGAGCCTTTGGACTGACTTTTTCAAGCTTTCACAGGCTTGCTTTTTCAAGCTTGCTCCAGGCCAGAGGCTTATAATTGCACTTTTCAAAAACCTCAACCCAAACCTTTTTCAAGGTATATATACATCCTTTTTCAAGGATGGTTGAGCCTGTCAAGGTTGCAGGAGGCCTTTCTCAAGGGTCAATCTGCCTCGATGCCAACTCCATCCCTTCTCTTGTGAGAAGAAAATGAAGTAGGATGCGGTATTTTGGTGCAACCTTGACACTCAACCTTGTAGAAGATACACCAGGGCTCACACTGGATGTGAGCAAGGATATCTTGCCCACAAAATCCTCACTGGAGAAAGTCCAGTGGGTTTTGGGGTTGAGGTATTTTGAGTTGGCAACCAAGTGCTGAAATGTATGGCATTTCATCACTATGTTGAAAAGCTTTCTCCCCTTTTCAGGCCCAAGCAGACAGAAGGGCATAGTAGTCACTGAACCCTTTTTCAAGGGACATGGCTTTATGCCATTCAGCTTCTGTCAAGAAAGCATCTGCCTCATCAAAGAGCTTGATGAGTTTTGACATGCACTGCATGGCCTGGAGCATGGCCTTCTCTTCTGCAACCCCTTCATCCAACAATGCCTTGCATTGCATACTGGCAGAAAGGCATGCAGGGTGTGCTTGGCTTCTGCAGCTTTCAGGTCCAGGTGGGCGAAGCTTGCATGGGGTTGCTTGGGGTCACAAATCATGCTCAACCTGAGGTTGGTGACCCTGGTCGGTGAAGATTGCCTCACATATTCTCTTTGGATGGCTTCAAACATGGCTCCCAATCTCTTTTCTGGTGCCACTGCTTGAACCTTACCAGGGCCATCATGCCAACACAGGTAGTGCATGATGCTGCCTAGGAAATGTCCTAGGACACCTTTGCAAAATAGTATGTGGAGACAATCACCCCTGACCATTTTGGTTGTCAGCCCTCCAATCACTCCAGAAAAGAGGGGGTGATTGCTCCTGGGGTGCAGCCTGGCTTCCTCATTGGACATGTGTACCAAAGCTTCACTGGTTTTGGCTCTTTTTGGGCATCACACTCCCAACAGGGGCAGTGTGATGCCCAATGAGGAAGAAGCAATGCATTGGAGAAAATTCATGATCTCCTTGAATGCACCAGAGCACCCCTTTCAGTCCATTGCACAGGGGCTTACCTTTTTCAAGGTAGAAGGGAGAATCCTTTTTCAAGGGGCTGCCTGCAGGGTCATGAGTTGGATGCAACCCTTTTTCAAGGGCTGCAAAGCTCCAGCAGATCCATTTCATCATGGTGTCCCATGTGCTTGCTTCTGTACAGCTTTTGGGATAGCCACCAATCATGAAATGGGAGCTGAGTGAATTCAGCTGCTGGAGCAGGGACCCCCATGAATAGACCATGAGTGAATCCCTGCTTTGATATTCCAACCCATCCCCATGCAAGAACAAGGGGGTTGTTTTCTTCTTCCACCCCTTCACTTTCATGGGGTGGCCCTGCAGGCGATCATCTCCAGTCTTCTCTGCTTGATCCCAGAATTGCCCCAAGAGCTCCAGAGGGAAGATGGTCTCAAACTTGCTGTAGGTAGCCAGCTTGGCAAACATGAGATGAGGCAAATATATTGCAGCAACCTCAGAATCCTTTTTCAAGGTTTTGGGGTTCTTGCAAGGCACTTCAAGATGAAAGGGGTCTGGCAAGTCAATCCCTTTGCAAAAGCTTGCCATCAAATCCCTGTGGATGTTGCCAGGGTGCACTCCATGGGATCCACATTTGGCCAACAGCACAAGCTCATCATGTTGTGCCCCATCTTGAAGTGCGCATTCTGCCAGCCATCTCATGGTCCTTCCTGACACTTTGCCATGGGCCCACAAGCTCAAAAGAGCTGTGGCCAACTCTTTGTACCTTTTTCAAGGTTGCCAGGAGGCTTTTCCATTTCTTTTTCAAGCTGCCAGCCCCTCAGCCTTTTGACCATCTTGGCAGAGAAGGTATCCTTTTTCAAGGATACCTATGCAGGATGCCTTTTTCAATGGCAGTGGCCAATTCTAGGTATGGTGGGAAACCTTTTTCAAGGGAAGCAATTAAGTTCTACAGGCACCACCCCTCAACCCTACCTACTTGATCCTAAATGGCTGCAGTTGGGTGGAAATGGCTGCAGGTGAGGTGAGTAAGAACCCTGGCACATGCACTGCCAACCTTTTTCTCACACATTGCTAGAGCTTCAGCCTGTTGCTGTCCAAAACTATGTACATATACCTTTTTCAAGGCATGCACTTTGTACATAGCTCAGCTTTTTCAAGCTGATCTATTTACTGGCCTTGCTCAAGGCCTTCATGCTGAGCTGCACCAACTCTTTGGCTTCATCCTTGGCGTCCTTCATGCAGGCCACTGCATCCAGCAAGTGCTTTTTCAAGCCAGCTAGGGTGTTTTTCCTCCTTTCTCAAGGATTTTCTTGGTGGCCTGCGCCATATCTTCCAAGGACTTGAGCATTGCCTGCTTGTCTTTCAGGCTCTGCTTGCTCAAGTATGGGCTCTTCTCAACCTTTTTCAAGGCTTCCTCAAAGTTGCTCACAGTGTTGAGCAACAGTGCTTTCGTTTTCCTGACCTTTTTCAAGGCTTCTTCCTGGGTGAGATCTTCCAGGGGGTCTTCTTCACCCTTGTTAGGGATTGGCTTGGGCTTTTTGCCTTTTCCTTTGCCTTTCTCAAGGCCTTTCCCTTTGCCCTTGCTCAAGGCCAGCATTGCCTTTCTCAAGGCCTGTCAGCATCAGGGTTTGCAAGTTTGTTTCCAGAGCTTGCTCCCACCCTCCATCTCCTCATCCACCACCTCATACTCTTGCCCATACTGCCAGTGGCTGGTGCTTTGGCCTGTGGTGGTCTTCTCATAGTCCTTTGTGTCCAAATACTCATTGACCGCCCAGGTATCTGGACACTCCCTCCACAGGACTCGACCACTGTCCAAGTGAAGCTTGAGAGCTCACGCTCACTCCAAAATTCATAGGCTTCTTTCTCAGACATCCATTTCTCTCTCTTTTTCAAGGAGTTTGTCTTGGATGCTGACTTGGAAACACTGCCAAACACAGGCTTGTGCTTCTGCATTAGGAAAAGGGCAGTGGCTTCGCCCTTTTCTCAGCTGCTCAAAATCCTTTTTCAAGGACTCATTGCCATCCTTTCTCAAGGAGGCCATGTGCTGGTTCCAAGCATTGCTTTTCTCTGCCTTGGTCATGGTTTCAACCAGGGCAAGAGCACCAGCTTCCTCATCACTGTGCTCTTCAGCAATGGCTTGGACCTTCCCCTTGAGGGACATCTCCCCCAACTTTTTCAAGTTTTTGGTGTTTACCTTTCCTTTGGCTGCCTTTTTCAAGGCAGGCTTTTGGGTAGGTACCTTTTTCAAGGCAGCCTTTTGCGCACTCACCTTTTTCAAGGTGTTCTTCAAAATTCCTGCTGGCCTCTTCATTTTCACTCCTGAGGCCTCTTGTTGGTTTGCTTTGTTTTGAGCTGTAAAAGGCTGCAGAGCACAAATATATTATATGAAACAGAGTTTTTTTGACAAATAAAAAGGAAAAGTGATCAAAAGTGATCAACCACTTTTGATCACTTTTGATCACTTTTCATTTTCCTACTTTTTTCAAAAAAATGTCTTTAGAAAAAAATGTTTTTTGCACCTTTTACCAAAAATAGAAATTAGTATAAACATGTCTAAAAATGTCGAAAATGTCTAAAAATTTGTTTCTGTACATTTTTCAAGGGTGATTGTTGGCAAATAAGTGGGAAATTCAGAATTGAATGCATGAACAACACTTGAACTAGTCAACTAAAAATTACAAACATATGTGATTATTTTTACAAATGTAAATAGAATAGTTGAATAACAATTTTAAAATGTATGTGGTACTCTGCCGACATGTTTTAGATTAGAATTGATTAATATGCAGAAAATAGTAGTAATATTGTATTCAAAATTTAGATAACTATAGTTTTAGATGTTAAACTTTTCTAGTATAATTGAAAACACAAACATATATATATATGTATATAACTCCAAATAATTAGATATTTTTTAAATATATATATATATTTTTATTGTTATTTTATATATTTATTTCTTTTTTCTTTTTCAGTCACCACCAGCCTTTTTGGCCAGTTCAGCTGTCCAGTAGCTTGGCTGGCCACCTCTCAAAACCAACAAAACCAAATACATCAACACAAACACATTTAAACCAACATGTGATTCCCTTTTTCACTACTGTAGCTGAGTGTTTATTTCACAAGAGGGGTGGCCAGCACAGCTGCT